TTACACCATAAATCCTTCTTGAGTTGCGGTAAATATCATAGCCATTATCAAAATAACATTGCCGTTTTGTGAATAAGGAGTTTTCAGTCACTCAGTACTAGAAGCCTGTACCGTCTAAACGCCACCTGAGTCTTCTGCTCCCGGTGGGACTCGATAAGGGTTTGTGTTAGGACTAGTGCTCATTATTTGTTACGTCGCCGACGGGGGGTTACAAACTATTGCCTCGCGTTTTTTAAGAAAGGGGAAGAACCACGAGTATGCCCGAGAAGACTTGGTCCAAGTTGCTATACGCACTGGCCAATAGGATTCCTACAATTTATATTCCGTTCCCTCGTAGGGGCCACTGTTCCAATTCAACCCTCAGGGGTCCTATATAGCGACGAATAAGGGCACTAGTCAATACAATACAAATAAAGCCGGCTGCCCTTAAGCGACTTCTCCAGGGGCACCAACGCCGGACGCTCCACCTGCCAGACTAATCATTATCTGAGTGCCACCAGTATCGAATACAGGGTTTTCGTAACCTTCTTCTAACAGTGAACGAAACTTGGCTGTATTGAAGGCTATTGTGAAGTCAAAGAAGGAAACTGCACATTTTTCACTGACATGTACAATTGCAGGAAGTTCAGCTGAATGTGGAAGTCTTTCTGATCAAAGAAAAATAAACGAAGGTGATTAGCAGTTTGAAGACTGGTCTTCTAAGTTCTCCAAATCCATTCGAAGCCGCCATTTTCCACTCATTGCTCAGCACAGCGTGGCTATGGTGCATTTCTGATGGTTTTCGCAAGCCAAAAGACACTTTGCAGTTGACAGACTTCTACTTCCCTTGGAAATTGAGCTAAATTGTAAACCAGAAAGCAGAAGGGAGACGCTGGGAGATCCGCTGTTGAGTCCAGATCCTCTATGCCGTGTTATGCAGCAGTACACAATTGGCGAAACACGTGTCTAGACCTGTTTTGGCAGTATGGTGAATCAATTAATGAAGAATAGTCCCAGTTTTTTTAGATTGTCAAACCTTCTTCTAAAAATCTTGTGTTAGCACGTTTCTCCCTCGGTCATTTGCACCCTATCTGACCTTTCCATCCGGTCTTCATGCTTTCCATCCTACTAAATAGCCCTACATAGCATCATTGTTCGCAGAACGGCAGCGTATGTACGTTAATTGCTCTCTTAAATCTACTCCAGATATTAGTCAGAGGCGCAGAAAGGCTCCCTTTTACAAAAAACGTCTGCCAGAGAATACGCAAAAGTCTTTTTTCTGCGCTTGCTCTTCTGTTCCAATTCCACTCATTACGCCGATAGGTTGTCGTTTTCTGGCCTCCAAAATTTCGCTTGCTGGAGTATCTGAAGCCCCTCCAGAATTATTGATCGTAACACGGCCAGTGGTTGGGAGTATTTCCCGCCTCATTCCAAGACATTTAGTGCATTATCCACAGAAGTTATCCTGCGTGCAGCTTTTGCTTTGTCTACTCTATGCTTGGGGTAATTTGCCATCGGAATGCTGAACGCAGGTGACCGCAAAAACAGAATCTACTGGTAAGATGAGCTTATTTAAGCGAAAGCCCAGCTGACTCGCATTTTGTTCCTGCCACTTTTGGGGTTTCGTTCGCCTTTTGAATTCGTAAGTTTAGGGAAACTGTGATAAGTATCGTCCGGTCAGTCTTTCAGATCACTTGAATCTTTTCAAAGATAAACTCCTACCTGTCTGCTGCTGCTGCTGCTGCAGCAAAGAACAAAAACTACCGAGATGCTTTACCGATTACCGTCACGTTTTCCGGTTGTTCCTGTCTTCGCACAAACGTCCTGGCCACTGGAAGACAAGCGAAAGGAAACAATTATTGTGAGCACTCAAAAGGGAGTTGGTAAATATTGGTTCACGACTGTCACAATAACACGGAGGTGAAGCCGTTTACCGAATCTGGTGCAAATGGTGGCAAGACGACTCGTCAGGAAAATAGGAAAATTACTCTTGACGCGGATGTTCGAACACGCGGCAGGAGCAGTAACAGTAGAGTATACTGCCAACTTTCGGGTCGTCGTACACACGGTAGGCCTTCTCACACCCTGAAGTTTGACGATACCGAAAGTCTCGAGAGAAGTGAGGACTGTTTTGGTCATGGTATTCCGGCATGTTGTGCATCGACAAGCGTAGTTACCTCTCTTCTTTTTATTCGATACTAAGACTTCACAGGGCAGAGTTCGCAGTTACGCAGGTAGTTCACGGGTGAACATTGCTTCAAAAGACAGGACTGGGGAACCAATTAACCAAGAGATTCTCATTCACACTGGGGACAAAATTGTACCTACTAACTACTCTGATAAGGACGACCAAGCCGTTATTGCTTTAAATAAGAACATTCACGATATTCTACCCGGTGTTTGACTGTGCGTCCACCGCACTCATACGCATTCCTTTCCCCCTGTCCGCTGTCGTCACTGATGATGTTTACGACAACAAATCCAAAACATATGACGAAATCCTTGTTCCAGCAGACAGAATACAATTCTAACCAGCCATTTACTGGCGCCCGTCTTCTTGCTCGTACCGGAAATAAGAAGCCGTTTTTCGCACTTTTCCGGGACCCTGCTTTACGTCATTGCGAACGTTTTGCGTGCAAACAATAAAAGCTTGAAAAAATAGCGTATGAGGTAACTTCTGTCCTTGTAAAAAAGTCACTTGCAGTTTTCACCGAGGCTCGGAATATATATTTGACGACATGCCTTGGTTACCGTGACCCGAATGAAAATGCGGTCAGTCGACGTGTTCGTTGAACCTAATACACGCATCGACGGAATCAGACTGAATTTAAAAGCAAAGACAAGCGAATTGAACGCCTTAGTATTACTGAAGCAGCTTGGACCTTCTAATTTTATCTGAAAGATAATTGTCTGCTGTTCTAAACAAAATAACACGCTCTCTGAGAAATCTTTAGTTCCTAGACCTGAAACTTATTGCTCCATGTGAATTCGTGGTATTAAAATCATCCGATTTTGCGCATTTATTCGCCCTTTAAAGACTTTCTTGACAGAAGATCGAAAGAATCTTCTGTTCAGATCAGAAAACATTCGTTACTCCTTGGGAAACTTGGACAAAGCCAAAACTAGGCATTTCTCTGTTATTTTGAAATATACTGATAATTTTCACCCTCCAACATACGTCTTCAGAAGGCTCAAGGTGAAATCTTTCGTAAATTTCTACGTACTCGGATACGGACAATTTTATTTGCTATGTCCAGGAAAGAGGGCTTTTATATGGATATAATCGGGTTTTCAACAAAAGAACCATACCTCTGATAAGGCCACGGCCTCAAGACAACGAGACCAAGCTGATTCATAGCAGACAACGACACTAGCAAGCCTAATGGCACTTCGTATAGGACATTTATGTATTTCGATCTCCAGAGAATGTTAAGTGCGTGCAAGGAAGGGATCACGAATCGCGGCATACCCATTCATGGCAAGGGATACGGGAAAGCATCTCTGCCACCCTTCAAGTCAAAATGAAAAGATTGGGCGAAATGTTGAATAACTATGTCGACATATTGCCTCGACACCAAAAACAGAACAATCGTACTGTTTACTATTCGACTGTTTCGAGAATTCGGATTTATTGCCAGGAAAGTCAGCCGAGGATTTCAACTGGCTTCTATTCTTAAGAATAAGGATCTTCAGCGGATACTCCAAAATCGCTAAAATTCTCTCAAGTAACTCGCCATTGTTTTCTTGCCAAATGACTTCCTAGATTTTTAACTTCTACTCTCAAGCAGGTGGCGCTCCCTAACCTCATGAAATTTTGTCAACTTCGTAAATTACTCGGTCTAGCGACTAAACTCCATGGATCCGCGAGTAGTTGATCTGGGAAAAAGAACAAAGATGGAGAATAGCAAAGTCACAGTGTGACGGTCACAATGTGACATTACGAGTTAGAATTTCTTAATAACAATCACCCTGTCTTCAGCGAGGTTTCCATTGCCGTAGGATGAGGCATGTGACCTGAGCCAGCCCATCTCCCCGGCTGCGTTTACCAAGTTTCTTGCAGTTCATGAAAGCCTTGACTTGTTTTCTTTACGGTCTGTGCAGTAAACGTTGTTGCTTGATGTTCCTTTGGTAGACAAGTGCCGAGTCCTGTCAGCTCAACTGCAGTTCATGCTTTTCTCGGCAATTCTAATTTCGCTCAAATATTGATCCAGATATCTGTAATACTTCTTGATTATTACATGTTCGTCTGCATGAGACAGAATGTTAGAGCTCCGGAAACGAAGCGCCAAGTAGAACGAAAGCAAGTCATATTCAGCCACGTAATCACGATAGACCGGCAAGCGTCACTCCACTGTGACTTCGAATAATTCCAGTCGCAACTAAAATGCCAGCTGCTATTCATAGCCAGTTTGTCTTATCCATCGGGACTGTGTGTTTCTCCACATCCTATATTTTTGTTTTTATCCCTTCTCCTCCCTCCCTCCCTCCCCTTCTCCCCAGTTCCACTTCAGAAGTCCTACGGTGAGAGCGACATGCAATCTCGTAGGAGGCCCAGTCTAATTCGGGTTGCCATCCACTAAAAAAGCCATGGCACATAGTGGAGTTCAGTTGCTGTCTGGGATGTCTAGGCAGCCCTATTTGGAGATAGCCCTACTTACCCTCAGCGGGCCCCGCTTCTTCAAACAAGGCCAGATTGAGGAGGTGGGTGCCGGCTATATCTACTGGAGCCACCGCCTAAAGGCAGGGTGACGAGACACTGGTGTCTTCCTTGCTATCTGGAACGACACTGTCAGGCGACTGCTCTGTTCGCCATAGGATACCAACGACTGCCTCTTTACCCAGCGCCTGCCTCTCTGGGGAGCCAAATTGGCCACCGTCATCAGTGCCTAAGCCCCCCCAATGACCAGCTCCTGTGAGGCGAAAAACAGATTCTTCGAGGATCTGCAGCCCCTCTTGGTGAGTGTCGAAGACGGACAAAGGGATTATCCTTGGTGACTTTCACACCCGCAGTGGGACAGACTATGCTGCCTGGTGGGGGGAGTGGTGGGTCCGTATGGTATCGGCGGCTGCTACGACAACGGCCTTCTTCTCCTGAGAACCTGCTCAGAACACCGCCGCCGCCGCCGCCGCCGCCGTCTCCTCGGCGTTTACAAAGGTGGGACTGCGCTATCTCTAAAAGGCGTGATCGGCAGGAAGTTCCGGTGACAAAAGTAATATGCTATGCCGATGGTTGTATGGATCCCTGTATCTTCACCCCCATTATGAGACTGCAGCCTCACAAGGTTAGCGACCGCCACGTAGTCTGAATACTGTTCTGTTGGATTTTTCAGCCCCCCGCTTACATGCCAGCAATCACTTAGCCCAGATCCTGGAAGAACTGCCGGTTCCGACTACAACACCGCGCAGACTGGTGGTGTTGGACTTGGAGTGCTGTTCACTTGACTGCTGTGGACATCCTCGGTTACGCCCGTTGCGAACAACAGGACTGCCTCCAAGACAACAACGCAGACTTCGGAGACCTGCTGGCCGAAATGAACAGACGGCCTATGTTTATCGTCGGACCGACGCACGCAACCAGACTTCATCAGATGTCGCCGTCTTGTGCGGCAACAACCGCGGGAGATGCAGGCAGTCTGGATGGCTCGAAAAGCCGAGGAAATCTAGGGGTATGCTGACCGCAATGAAATTAAGAACTTTTTTGCCTTCATCAAGACGGTCAACGACTCCTGGATCGAAGGAATCAGTGCCGATGGGACAGTATCCCTAACGTAGAAATCGTAGCTTCTGACACGCTGTATTGAACACTTCATAACTGTCCTTAATCTCGCATCCACGACCTCAAACAGCGCCATCGACCGGCTCCCTCATGTTGAAACGAATAACGGCACAGATATCCCGCTTTCCCTCCCAGTAACAGTCAAGTCCGTGCAGCAGCTGTACAGCGGGAAAGCGCTGGGATCCGACGTGATCCTGACTGAAGTCTATAAGCACGGCAGTCCCGGCCGATGGACAGACTTACAAGGGTATTCCAGAAGATGTGGCGTCAAGAAAAATTCCCTCCGGATTTCAAGGACTCGAAAATCGTCCATCTCCACCGGTGGAAAGGAAGGCGGCAAGTCTGTGATAACCACAGAGACATCTCGCTGCTCAGCATTGTCGGGAAGATCTTCACTCGTATCCTTCTCAGCCGTCCCAACGGCCATCTAAAACTGATACATATCCCCGAAAGTCAGCGCGACTCCGACGACACCGCATAACCACTGGCATGATCGTCGCCGTCCGCCAGCTGCAGGAGAAGTGCCAGGAAATGCGGACCCACGTCCCTCCCACCTTCGTGGACCTGGCGAAAGCCTTTGACACAGTAAATCGTGAAGGATTGTGGAAAATCATGCAGAAATGCGGTTGTTCTGAGTGATTCACGCACATGGTACGCCAGTGCCATGCCGGGATGATGTCGCGCATCATGGACAACGCGCAATATCCGAGGCATTCCCAGCGATCACTGGAGTGAAAAAGGGATCCGTACTCGCTCCCACCCTCTTCAGCCTCATCTTCGCTGGCATGCTGACTGACACCTACCTTGATGAGCACCCTGGGATACGCATCACCTACAGAACTGAGGGACATCTCAACAGCAGACGCCTAGAGGCCCCCGCGCGACTACCTACGATTATCGTCCACGGCCTGTTCTTCGCCGATGACCAGGCGGTCAACACCACGACCGAAGAAGACGTGCAACGAAACATGACCTCCTCGCCGCAGAGTGCACCAACTTCAACCTGACTATCAAAACAGACAAAACGGTGGTCATGCACCAACCGTCATCTTGCATGCGACACAGCCCTATTCCTCAATTCAATGTCGACGGTAACCAACTCAAAACCGTAGACAACTTCGCTTACCTAGGAAACACTTTCCTGTGGCACAAGAATCGACGATGAAGTAGCCCTCTGGATCTCCAAAGCCAGCCAAGCCTTCAGCCGGCTGTAGAACTCCGTGTAGAACCCCCACGGCCTTCAACTGAACACAAATCATAGGATGTACGAGGCCGTCGTCCTGACGACACTTTTCTACGAAGTGGACTGTCTACTGCAGCCATGCTAGGAAACTCAGCCACTTCTACCTCAGCTGCCTTTTCAGAATACTAAAGCTGGGATGGCAAAATAGGATCCCCGACACGTGGGTCCTAGAACGAACCGGAATCTTCAGAATTCACGCCATGTTGAGGCGGATACAACTACGTAGGAACGGCCATCCCGTGAGGATGGATGATACACGTCTACAGAAACAACTCTTCTAAGCTGATGTCGCCACCGGTGCTCGTCGACAGGGAGGACAAAAATGGCGCTACAAGAATTACCTTTCGCGATTGCATATAATTCCAGAGACCTGGGAGACCTCGCCCAAAACAGACCGGCACAGCAAATCTGATCGCCACCGTCAAACCAAGTCGCAAATCATAGGTGCCTCGACTCCTTTATGCCAACAGTTAGCCGCTTCCAACATGTACGCGCTGCCAAGCCACATTACGTGCGAATCGGCCTTGTAGGACACCTGCGGAGGCAACGTACCAACAAGCTGACAAAGTCGACGTCCCCTTTCATGGGCGTATGTTGAGTGACCTGGTGTAAAGAAAACCTGCGCTATTTCCTTGATCAGTATCGCGTTCAAGTCCATGGCTGAATTGGCATACGCGGCGACTGGGCATCGGAAAACACGTTGGGCAGATAGTGCGGACGTGACGGGTATTGACCCGCACTTTCAGCGTTCCAGTCGAGCTTCGATGGACTCACAAGTGATTGACCAGGCCGGTACCTTGTTCGGATATGCGGTTAAAATAAAAGGCATGTGGATAGTATTTCTTCACTGCAGCTAGTGGATGTCCGTCAAGGAGTTTCCGCTATGGATGTCCTGTCTGGGTATACACGGACCGAAGTGCGGCGCTGCAGCAAGAACAGATGATAGAGTTGTTTGCAGTTATTTTACTGTCAACGGGAATGTTTTAAGATGCGGTTAAACAACTTAATCTGACAAACGGTTGTCACAAGAGGGTGGAGAAAGGGATTTACATTTTGTACAATTACTCGACGGCGTTTTAGCACCACACAAGTCACTGGCTGCCAACATCTGTCTGCTGTATTATACTGGTTTAGAAGGCAAAGCGCTCACAGTTGAGGAGATTTTGTGCATTTCGTTATTGGCCTTACAAGTCAGATTTTCATCAAGTATGGTACAGTGCTACAAAGCATCTGTTTGATGCCTATTTGCAAAATCTATGGCCTGAATTGGGCCGAAATCTATGCGGTGAGTAATCTTCCAAATAAAGGTATGATGGTATCATCAACTGTGGTCGAGACTAGCTTCCGTCAATACTAGGCTACCGAAGGTGTATAAAACACAGGTTTTGATAGCAAAGAAAAAAACGATTCCTGGAATCAGTAGGCACTGTTTTTTCACTCGGCACTTCCAACCCAACATCGAATTCACTTGTAAAAGAGCCGGCAAGTTTGACATCCAACGTTTTCGATATTTTTTAATACAGTCTTTACAACTTCCTGGAGTGTCTTCTGTCCCACTGCGCAAAGCATACCTTTATTGTGGTGACAACCTCGCCACCTGATATCTCAGAGTGCGGCAGCGTCGTTGATTCTGAAAACGGGGCTTTTGCGAATGTTTTTGGCGTGCAAATGCCGCAGACACAACTGCATCTGCTCCTATTTTGGCGCCTAATTGGCCACTGGAGGAAGTGAGGGGGGCGCCAGGCGTGTAACCAGTACTCAGACCGCATTTTCGATCTCGACTATCGACTTCTGTGACATGCCCCCAAAAGTACTGCTGCCATGCTGTCATGGTGATATCAGAACGAAAGGAGAGCTGACTATTGTGATAGAAATTGCAGACAAATTTTGTGTTGAACACAAAGTAGGGACATCCCTGTATTACGGGTATTCGTGCGCTAGACTCCAGAAAAATTAGGGTTGGGTGAATGTTAAGGTCAAGGTTTGGGTCTAGGTTAAGGTTGGAGATGGGGTAAGAACACGAGAATAGGTGCCGTTCCTGGACTTTGGCGCAAGGCCACCTGTGTTACGGGGGACGGGGGGGGGGAGAAAGGGTGGAGTCCCTTTTCCCGTGTCCTACCAAATGTTCATTCGCAAAGTGATACTCTAGTCTTCGGTAAAGAGGGATTTCAGGAAAACTGCCTGCGAATTATGATAGAGACTAAGATAAAGCTCAGCCGCGAAATGAAGTTGCATCATGTTCAATTTGCTCTCTCCCAAATGCACACGATGGCTGGGCTTTATTCCACTTGCTCGACCAGTTTCTCACAAGGTCAGAGAGCGCCCGAAAAAAATAAGCTAGATGTATAAGACTGGCTCTCCAAAAACTCCATACTGGCCGCATATGTAACTAGATACTGAACAAGCAAAGTATAAAGCGGACTGACAACAAGAGTGGATACAGCGGGTAAACTAATTCATGAAATATGGTTGATACAGTGAAAAATCACTGACTAATCTGAGGCCGGTTCAAATGCATCTACCAAAACACCTTACTTGTAATAAATAATGTCTGATTAAATGAAAAAGGCAAGTAAATTATTACAAATACTATTTTGCTGCTTAAAAAAGCACTTTTCATAGGGGAAGTGAAAATTTCTTAAAGGCAAAAATTCTTATCGTATGATAAGTCTCTAATTTCGGGAGTACATAATGCTTGTTAATGCAAACAACTGATCAAAAGAAACGGTATATGCACAGTAACATCTAGAAATTATTTTTACATAAATTTTCATTAAATATCATGCAATTAGTGTCACACGAAGTCTGGCACACAGTCAAGTGTGTAAATAAATACTACAAGTACAATGTGGTTGGTGAGAAAAAGCAATTTATTTAAGGAAAGCGCAGATATCGAAAACATGAAAATGTGTGCCACATGAGTTGACCCAGGTTTCAGATGTACATAATGCTTGCTGATGCAAAAAGCGGACCAAGTAAAACGACGGAAGCACAGCAATTTCGTTTGCATTAAAAATCCTCCAAGAATTAGTGTTATACGAAGCCTGGTATGAAGTCAAGTGTGTACTGTCCGGTCATGTGCCTCAAGATCTTGTTGCGTAAAATGCGATGTAATTTTTCGTTTTTGCATTCTTCGAGATGCGGTTGATCAAAACGAGGTGAATTTCATTTGGTGTCGCTAGTAAAAGCGTCACAGGAATAAAAAGGTTCCATAAAGTCACATGCTGACAGGCCGGTCAACGACCATTAACATTGAATGGAATCGACAGTTGCACATCGTAATCATACCAGTTTGTGTATATTAAGAGGATTTTGTTGCGTCATTTTTATGTGTGATTTTTGTCGACGGCGGGGTGGCAGGGAGTGCTTGGACGTTCTTTTTCATGTATATGGCCGTTTAGGTCACATTCGAAGACTCGCCTAAGCATATAATCCCATTGTCAAAATAATGAACGTCTAAAATAAACTTCAATGACGAATATGCTCTTTATTCCTCGAAAACCTTTCTCGGACAAGTTACCTATTTAAAAAGTGCCTTCACACTTTATTCTGTTTGCGAACTTTCACGCACTTAACCGTTTTACACATATGCAACCTAAAGGGCCTGTTACTTCGTATCAAGATAAATTTAATGATGAAGCATACTTGTTAATGGCAGAGATCATACATTTCGGATATCGAATCCGGCCACCAATCTTCAACGCCTTGAGGTTCTCATTTTGGGACAGTTTATTTTGAGGGCTCTTGTAATTTCTGCCGAGATATTAGCTCACGGAAAACAGGGTGAATAGTGAGTCACTGACAAGCAGTACGTGCAGGAGGAAAGAAAGCCTGAGCTCTAACCGTCTCAAAAAGTGCTTGTCCACTAACCAAGTAATTCACTGCATTCAAAAGCAGTACGGCATCTTTGTAGAAGGAATCAATAGGGGAACGAGTTTAGACAGCTTGCTACCCAGCCAGCCTCCAGTGCCCCGTCAGGTATTTTCGACGGAAATCTAGACCAATTATACCATACAGAGGGTAAGAGAGGGAAGTGAAATGAACCACTAATGACAGTATTGAATAGACAGTTATTCGCATGCAATGTGGTCAAAACCGTAATGCAGTCACTCGAGGTTTAAAATCCAGACAGTTGGATGGGGAGACAACCCCCCGTACTTAACTTCGAGGTGTGACCCAAAAATCTATAAAAATAAGCGTCTTTCATGAGTCATTCAACAGCCAAAAACTATGCTTTTTAACCGACGATACTATCGCATGTAGTGTTAAGCAAGAAGTACGGAAGTTCGGGAATAGGCCGCGTTGTGGGTGGGGCTGCCATCTTGATCATTTGCTTCGTCCTTATTGCAGTCCACTCTTGTCAGCAAGTTTTGGAACAACAAGTCTTATCTGCGTTAGACTGTATCAAAGCATGTGAGGCTGTGTGGTTCTAACCCGAAAGATGGGGTTTCATTGTACATTATGCTTGCATCTTGCATGATTGCTTCAATGATATATTGGACGTCTGATTGGGGAGGGTAGGAGAGGGTTCGTTGCCTGAATCACCTGGTTTTACCTCACTTCATTTCTTTTTTTCTTTTCTTATCTTTTCTTGGAGCTGCCTGGAATACTTGAAAACGGTTAACGCAGGCTATCATCGGAGAGTGAAGGCTAGTTACTGCAGATAGTGAGCACTGAATTCTCCGACCTCTTTCTATTAGCATGTTGTTTTGTAAATTCCTCCTCTACCATTGTGGAAACGCGATCGAAACCGAGAAGACAATG